CTTGATTGCTATGAACTTACGCCAGCAATCCTTTTTGAAAGCCAAACTCGGCCAAGCAGTGCTTCAAAGTTCATTAAGACATGTCCGTTAAATGTAACTGGTGAACAATTATCTTGGAAACTAGGAGACATTTGGACCCATGCAGGCTTAAGACACAACGAAGTTGGAGGCGAAAATTGTCATAATTTGAGCATAGTGACACATTTCCTTTCACCATTTACCCCCTTCGGTGAGATGCGCAGGCCCGATGTATATGGCTATCGTAATTTAATAGTTTTGCCTGCTGGTCATATCTCTGGAGCACCGCGCGAAGATGTAAAGCTAGATGCAAAAGAATCGGAGGATGACAGTTCCAGTATTCTCTCGGTAAACTTTACCCATAGAAATTTCAAATCCAACGATGCTCAACAACTTAAAGGAGGAACAAAGCCTGCGACGTATTTTGATATATTACCCTATGATGCCGCCACTATTTCACGGAGTCGCATACGGATTGGTACAAAAAATGATCCTCTGAATGAGGCGGCCTCAGGAAACGGGCTCACGGATATAAGAGGACCTGATACAAAGGATCTGACAGAAATTTCAAGAACAAGCATTATCAGCTCGTCTCCCAAGAATTTACAGGGTGCTTTAAATAGTAACATTAGTCTTCGACAACATCTTCACCGAGCATATCGTCCGGTTTTTTTCTTAATATTTGATAGACCCAGTGTACTTGAACACCTAACTGAATGTGATTCTTTTGCAGCATTCTGCAAACGACAGATGATTAGTCCTGTTATGTTTGTTAATCAGCCTACGGATATTTTTTGCGGAAAAGCCCATCCTAGTTTGTATCATAACTTTGATCTATTTCAAGTGACCGTCTCAGGCTATTCCTTTCACCCTGATGGTAAAAATACTCAGGCTGTATTGGATAGTCTTTATCCATCAAACTCGTGGCTTAACGGATCCAGTGATGTTGATTTGTGCCCCGATAAGAATATTCGGCATAAACGTTTGACAGCCTTCGACAATCCAGGATTTGTTCGCTGAGTAAGGGGATTTTTGAGACGTAAGCACTTCACTATATTGGTTTGAAACTCTTCACTGTTTGAGTTAACAGGTGCATTCTATTAGAATTGCTATTATCTCGCCTAGTGAGTAATAAGT